CTTCTTAGATTTTCTCAGCGCCTGGCATTAGAGAGGCCCCTAATTGAATTTCCCTTTCTCCTTCGAAGACACATTTGAAGCACTACCTGGGGTTCCCCGTTTTATGATACTCTATTGTGCAATTGTACCGTAATTCATTCCCATTTTCATAACAAATCTTGAAGGAAACCTTCTAAGATTTTCTCAGCGCCTGGCATTAAAGAGGCCCTTGACTGATTTTCACTTTGTCATTGGAAAAAGCACATTAATGACTGCCTGCTTTCTCGTTCTGTCTTACTCTATTGTCTAGTGGTAACGTGATTCATTCCCATTTTCATTACAAATCTTGGAGGAAAACTTCGCAGATTTTCTCAGTTCCTGGCATTAGAGAGGCCCCTAATTGAATTTCCCTTTCTCCTTCGAAGACACATTTTAAGTACTACCAGGTTCCTCGTGGTGTAATACTCTATTATCCAGTGGTACTGTACTTCATTCCCATTTTCATTACAAATCTTCAAGGGAACTTTCTTAGATTTTCTCAGCGCCTGGCATTAGAGAGGCCCCCAATTGAATTTCCCTTTCTCCTTCGAAGACACATTTTAAGTACTACCAGGTTCCTCGTGGTGTAATACTCTATTATCCAGTGGTACTGTACTTCATTCCCATTTTCATTACAAATCTTCAAGGGAACTTTCTTAGATTTTCTCAGCGCCTGGCATTAGAGAGGCCCCCAATTGAATTTCCCTTTCTCCTTCGAAGTCACATTTGAAGCACTACCTGGGGTTCCCCGTTTTATGATACTCTATTGTACAATGGTACCGTAATTCCGTCCCATTTTCATTACAAATCTTGAAGGAAACCTTCTTAAATTTTCTCAGCGCCTGGCATTAGAGAGGCCCTTAACTGATTTTCACTTTGTTATTGGAAAACGCATATTAATGACTGCCTGTTTTCTCGTTCTGTCTTACTCTATTGTCTAGTGGTAACGTGATTCATTCCCATTTTCATTACAAATCTTGAAGGAAACCTACTTAGATTTTCTCAGCGCCTAGCATTAGAGAGGCCCCTGATTGATTTCCCTTTCTCCTTCGAAGACACATTTGAAGCACTACCTGGGGTTCCCCGTTTTATGATACTCTATTGTACAATGGTACCGTAATTCCGTCCCATTTTCATTACAAATCTTGAAGGAAACCTACTTAGATTTTCTCAGCGCCTAGCATTAGAGAGGCCCCTGATTGATTTCCCTTTCTCCTTCGAAGACACATTTGAAGCACTACCTGGGGTTCCCCGTTTTATGATACTCTATTGTACAATGGTACCGTAATTCCGTCCCATTTTCATTACAAATCTTGAAGGAAACCTACTTAGATTTTCTCAGCGCCTAGCATTAGAGAGGCCCCTGATTGATTTCCCTTTCTCCTTCGAAGACACATTTGAAGCACTACCTGGGGTTCCCCGTTTTATGATACTCTATTGTACAATGGTACCGTAATTCCGTCCCATTTTCATTACAAATCTTGAAGGAAACCTACTTAGATTTTCTCAGCGCCTAGCATTAGAGAGGCCCCTGATTGATTTCCCTTTCTCCTTCGAAGACACATTTGAAGCACTACCTGGGGTTCCCCGTTTTATGATACTCTATTGTACAATGGTACCGTAATTCCGTCCCATTTTCATTACAAATCTTGAAGGAAACCTACTTAGATTTTCTCAGCGCCTAGCATTAGAGAGGCCCCTGATTGATTTCCCTTTCTCCTTCGAAGACACATTTGAAGCACTACCTGGGGTTCCCCGTTTTATGATACTCTATTGTACAATGGTACCGTAATTCCGTCCCATTTTCATTACAAATCTTGAAGGAAACCTACTTAGATTTTCTCAGCGCCTAGCATTAGAGAGGCCCCTGATTGATTTCCCTTTCTCCTTCGAAGACACATTTGAAGCACTACCTGGGGTTCCCCGTTTTATGATACTCTATTGTACAATGGTACCGTAATTCCGTCCCATTTTCATTACAAATCTTGAAGGAAACCTACTTAGATTTTCTCAGCGCCTAGCATTAGAGAGGCCCCTGATTGATTTCCCTTTCTCCTTCGAAGACACATTTGAAGCACTACCTGGGGTTCCCCGTTTTATGATACTCTATTGTACAATGGTACCGTAATTCCGTCCCATTTTCATTACAAATCTTGAAGGAAACCTACTTAGATTTTCTCAGCGCCTAGCATTAGAGAGGCCCCTGATTGATTTCCCTTTCTCCTTCGAAGACACATTTGAAGCACTACCTGGGGTTCCCCGTTTTATGATACTCTATTGTACAATGGTACCGTAATTCCGTCCCATTTTCATTACAAATCTTGAAGGAAACCTACTTAGATTTTCTCAGCGCCTAGCATTAGAGAGGCCCCTGATTGATTTCCCTTTCTCCTTCGAAGACACATTTGAAGCACTACCTGGGGTTCCCCGTTTTATGATACTCTATTGTACAATGGTACCGTAATTCCGTCCCATTTTCATTACAAATCTTGAAGGAAACCTACTTAGATTTTCTCAGCGCCTAGCATTAGAGAGGCCCCTGATTGATTTCCCTTTCTCCTTCGAAGACACATTTGAAGCACTACCTGGGGTTCCCCGTTTTATGATACTCTATTGTACAATGGTACCGTAATTCCGTCCCATTTTCATTACAAATCTTGAAGGAAACCTACTTAGATTTTCTCAGCGCCTAGCATTAGAGAGGCCCCTGATTGATTTCCCTTTCTCCTTCGAAGACACATTTGAAGCACTACCTGGGGTTCCCCGTTTTATGATACTCTATTGTACAATGGTACCGTAATTCCGTCCCATTTTCATTACAAATCTTGAAGGAAACCTACTTAGATTTTCTCAGCGCCTAGCATTAGAGAGGCCCCTGATTGATTTCCCTTTCTCCTTCGAAGACACATTTGAAGCACTACCTGGGGTTCCCCGTTTTATGATACTCTATTGTACAATGGTACCGTAATTCCGTCCCATTTTCATTACAAATCTTGAAGGAAACCTACTTAGATTTTCTCAGCGCCTAGCATTAGAGAGGCCCCTGATTGATTTCCCTTTCTCCTTCGAAGACACATTTGAAGCACTACCTGGGGTTCCCCGTTTTATGATACTCTATTGTACAATGGTACCGTAATTCCGTCCCATTTTCATTACAAATCTTGAAGGAAACCTACTTAGATTTTCTCAGCGCCTAGCATTAGAGAGGCCCCTGATTGATTTCCCTTTCTCCTTCGAAGACACATTTGAAGCACTACCTGGGGTTCCCCGTTTTATGATACTCTATTGTACAATGGTACCGTAATTCCGTCCCATTTTCATTACAAATCTTGAAGGAAACCTACTTAGATTTTCTCAGCGCCTAGCATTAGAGAGGCCCCTGATTGATTTCCCTTTCTCCTTCGAAGACACATTTGAAGCACTACCTGGGGTTCCCCGTTTTATGATACTCTATTGTACAATGGTACCGTAATTCCGTCCCATTTTCATTACAAATCTTGAAGGAAACCTACTTAGATTTTCTCAGCGCCTAGCATTAGAGAGGCCCCCAATTGAATTTCCCTTTCTCCTTCGAAGTCACATTTTAAGTACTACCAGGTTCCTCGTGTTGTAATACTCTATTGTCCAGTGGTACCGTAATTCATTCCCATTTTCATTACAAGTCTTGAAGGGAACCTTCTTAGATTTTCTCAGCGCCTAGCATTAGAGAGGCCCCTGATTGATTTCCCTTTCTCCTTCGAAGACACATTTGAAGCACTACCTGGGGTTCCCCGTTTTATGATACTCTATTGTGCAATGGTACCGTAATTCATTCCCACTTTCATTACAAATCTTGGAGGAAACCTTCTTACATTTTCTCAGCGCCTGGCATTAGAGAGTCCCTTAGTTCTCGTTCACTTTGTCCTTGTAAAACGCATATTAATGACTGCCTCAAAAGCTTTTTTGGAAAGGAAGAAGTTGTTTATGGCTCCTCCCCATTTCAAGGCCTAACACTAGTTCTGGGACACCTTGTATACTCTAACTGTCGATTAAAATTTAATCATTAATTGTTAATGCAATAGTTAGAGAATCTGCTGCCCTAATGGCAATATTACTTGACCTTTATTTTTAAATAAGTGGGAAAATCATTAATTTTCAGTGTGCGTTTATACGAATTGCGTTCACTGTATATATTTAGATGATACTTTCTGTTTTTTGAATCGTATAATTTGATGGCAGAGGCGCTTCACGTGGCACACCTAATGGCATCCCATGGATATTTCTTCCCCATCGATGACCACTGCCTTACCGTAAAGAACGATAATACTTTCTATAGGTTCCAAACACCATATTTTTGGCCATCAAATTGTTGGGAACCGGAGAATACCGATTATGGTACAAACCATTTTTATCCTCGACGATGTCTCCTTCTTAAGAGTCGTGTTTTTTAAATTAATGAAAAATTTCAGCTGTTTACTTGTGCAAACGGACGATGCAGAACAAGACTCGGCTGGAATTAGCAGATTACGAGGCTGAGAATTTAGCTAAGCTGCAGAAAATGTTCTCGAGAAAATGGGAGTTCATTTTCATGCAAGCGGAAGCTCAGAGCAAGGTTGATAAGAAAAGAGACAAACTGGAGAGGAAGGTGCTCGATAGTCAAGAAAGAGCTTTCTGGGACGTCTACAGACCAATGGTATTTGTTCTTCTTCT